GACTGGACTGCAACGGTCAACCTTAAAGTCTGAAAAATTTAAAAGGACTTCATCAGATCCTTTTGTTTTGAGCTTAATGATCAAAAAGTTAAATATTTTCACATCACCCAACCTGAACTCCATTTAATGTCAACTTTAGGCTCTATGCGCTTTTATTGGCCTTGCTACATGTTTATGCAGCATCACCTGGATGTTTTACGACTTTGCATAGATTTGCATGTTACACAGACATTTGCATTTAGTATGAACAAACAGAATGACCCTCCTGCCTGGCATTAAAATGTCTGCAAACTATATAAGATAAAATGCGACTCACCATCTGGTGTGTCACTTCTGCCAAGTTAACTCCAAGAACTAGAAGACCTTTTTATATTCAGATGTTTTAGACTTCGCTTTAAACCAAGTATTCAAACACAAAGATAACAGACTTTATAATTGTTTACAGTATTAAAATATATCTGTATTAGCTTATTAGGTTCAACTCAAAAGAGATCGAACTACAATTTTGATGGTGACACTGCATGACCCCCAGTTAGGATGAAGAAACGACATAATGCAAAGTCTTCATACACCATGAGATTTTACTTTTAGAATTAAAATCAAAATGCTTTTGAACGTTTTTATGTAAATTGATGCAAGTATTACAGCATGTTTAATCCTTCCTGGATGTAATGATTGAACATGAAGTAACCAATTAAAAATGATGTTTAAACAATCATCTCATATTGATATTTCAATACGTCCTGATAAACTGAAATACTTTGAATGTTCCTATCTTAGTGGTCCTCTATAATCTACAGCACTTTCAATGCAAGCTGTCCTTTGATTTTGTGCAGGAAAACGTAAAATAAGTCACTGTTTTTAATCGAGTTCATTGTATAAAATCATGCAAAGTTCATTACCAGGTTTTTTAGTTTAAGATTTTGATGAATCCATGTTTTTGTTTATTTCTGTACCACTGGGAAGTCTAGACTCCAAGGATAACACTTTAATACTGAAAGGGAACAAACACAAAAAACTGATTAAATATTTTAATACTTCACAGCATTAAAATCTGCAATAATTATATCCACTTTCATCCAATATTGGATAGGGTTTGAAATCAACAAAGGCCATTTTTTCCAAATTATCTAGATCAGTCATTAGACAAGTCCTCTTCTAAAATAAAAATACATTTAAACCTCTTCAAGCCATAAGATAGACGTCTGTTAACAGAGAGTCATCCAAAAAAAAAAAAAACGCTAACAAGCTAGCTACCAATAAACAGAATGTAGCGACAGTCGTCTATTAAGCTCAAGGTCCAGGTCTGGATTCATGAAAGCCGTTTTATAGTATGTCCATGTCCAAAAGAAAATAAAGGAAAATACCATTAAGTCTGAAATCAATTTGTGCAGAGCTCCACATTCAACAGAAATTAATCTGCTTCACGTGATTAATGTCTAAATTATTCAGTCATTCTTTCTAAGAAGAAATTAGATGCACGTGAATAAAACAGTGCAGAGCCAAAACAGATCAACGGTCGGAGAAGCTGGTGTGCAAATATCATGAGATTAAGTTGGGACTAAACGTGCTCTAATTCTAATTACTTGTTTAATCATGAGTTTCAGCTTGAGCCCTGTGGGAACAAAGATCTAAACCAAGTAGCCATGAACTGTAACAGAACCAATAAATCCATTATTAGATGGGTTTGTGTACAACCAGCAGCTGATTATAAATGCTCACAACAAATGAGGAGATATTGCATTCAAGTTCTATTGAGCTTTTCATACGCTTGGGGAAAACATCTGTGTATAGCGTATCTATATCTAATTGTTACAAAGTAGCACCAGCTCAGTGATGCCTACACCATCTCCCTGTGAGGGAATGAATCAGGAGAGTCGGATCACAAGACACCGTCTCATTATTTGAGCAGGACTCAGTGGTGCCAACACTTTGGGAAACATTCTCACTTTTACCTCACACTGAGGACTTTAGATTATAAACTCCTGCTACATCATTAAGGAGTGCAATTAGAGCTTGAGAGCGTAACCCCGCCGCGTCCATGAAACGTGGCTGGAAGAAAAGGAGTGGTGTGGTAATAGATGGAGGGAGACGGTTGGACCTGGAGTATTTAACGCAGATGAGCCTCACGGCTTGTTCAGCTGATGTCAGGAACTACAGAGAGGACGGAGAGGATGAAAAGAAAAACACCAGATTGACATTCACCACAGTAATGGTAGCTGGTAAGCAGGGACGCAGTGAGAGCCAAGGGGAATCTGGCCGGTTAATACATCGCAACTGGAACCTGACTTCAATTTATGATGTCTGGAGGCGGTTTATACTCCGCCTTGGTTTCATTGGTTAAACCTGGAGAATTGCTCAAACATCTCCCTCATGGTGCACAGAAAACCTATCCGGAAATCACCTGGAATACCTTTAATATCAAAAAAAGGCCCCAGAGCCAATGACAAACCAAGCCTAACATCTCTTGTTTTGCATTCAACAAAACTATTTCCATGTCCTGGAATCCAGTAAAGTATGGTTTTGCATTTCTTTAAACTCAGAAGTTTACATACATTCGCTTTGTATTTATTAGTTTTTTTTTTAACTTAATTTGTGTCAAGGAGTATGAGGGGGGTAGTTGGTAGCACAATTGTATTGCAGTAAGAACGTTCTGCATGTGAATCCTGGCCTAGTGTCTTTCTATGTGGAGTTTGCATGCAGTCTGAATGCTTGATGCTTCAAAAAAATAGTGTGTGCCCATGGTTGTATGTCTGTGCGTTGCCCCTGTGATGGGTTTCACAAGCTCCTTAAGCCCGGGTCACACCAGTTTCTATTCTATACAAAATATAATGGGAATTATTAAAGGAAAACACGGCTGAGGAACGGTTTAGGTAATTTGGGGCGGCAGTGAGGCGTGATTCTAAGATCAACCTGTAAAGTTCTACAAAGCTTTTTTTTCCCCCCCTTCATAGAGAGAGGAGCGTGATAAACTGCACGTGTCCTGTACTATCACTCCTTTTTTGTTTTTTCTCAATGATCACCATTTTACTTTATCCATCTTGGGTAAAGAGTTATGCTTATTAAAACATCGTATTGATTGTTATCTCCTATTCTGTCAAACTAGCTCTCTGTGACTCCAAACAGGCAAAACCTGACCTTTTTCCCCTGGGATTGACAGACTTTATTTTCCATTTCCCCCAAAGCTTATGCGTACTTTACCACTTCATGTCAACTTTTTTTTTTTTTTTGCATTCATTATAATTCATAAAGCAGACAACAACGTCCTAATTTTAGTATGCTTCGAGTTTCTTTCCATTTGGAAGACCAATTTGTGCCCAAGCTTTAACTCTGGCTGATATAGTTATGCTGCTATAGGCTTAGACCGCTGGAGGACATAGGGACTCCTTTTTATAATTTTGCTTAATTTGATCTCTATTCACCCATTCTGCAGAGTTTAATTTCATCTTGTCCATTCCTTTTTGGCTGTGACACCATCCTGGAGAGAAATAGCTGTGCTGCTGCCATTAACACCTTTTTGTATAGATGTTGGATCTTGGCCTGTTTTTCCAGTTTAGTCATGGGAGCTGGCTTAAGAGCTCATCTGCCTGGCTGTGTGATTTTTCCTGTGGAGCTGGTCGACAGTTGCCTTTTGTATCTGCTTCTTTCTGTACGTCTTCTTCCGTCTCCTTGAACTCCAGTCAGCCTTAGCAGATGGCCTGGTCTAGTCTGGTTTTGTTGGAGGTTTCTTCCTGGTAAAAGGAATTTTTCCTCTCCACTGTCACTACAAGCAGGCTTGGTGTAAGGGATTGCCTTCGAGTCAATGTATCAATTTGAAATGATGGTTCAGATTTGATCCAACACTAAAGTGCTACTAGAAGCTGAGAGAACCAGGTGGTTTGAAATGTTTCCTGAATAATTTCTGCAGTTACTTTGCTGTTCAACTAAGTGAAACGTGCCAGACCCATTCACTCATTTTAAGAAGCAACACTTCAATCTGGTTTTGTCCAATGCCACTTCAAGCCTTTCAAAGATATTTGCAGCTTTTTGTGCCTTTTCAATTGGTTCCAATACTTATATGTCTGAAGGCATTTTCACAGAGAAAAAAAAAACAGCTTTTATTTTGTCATTGCTTCTATGAGAAGAAATGAAACAAAACAACACACCATTTGGCCTGGTTAAAAATGTGTTTCTGTACCAACAAAAAAGCTCCCTATAGAGCACTTTGTTGAAAAATAAATATCCCAAAATAGTGTGCAGTGTATCAATAAAAATGGTTTGGGGTATTTTACAAGGACAAAAGAAGCGGTGGCAGGCTATTATAACTGTGTAAAGCTAATAAACTGTTGTCGAAAGCAAGGCTCTTAAGAAATCATGAATTACTAAAGCAAAGAAAAGTAACATCTTTGAGCTTAGCCATTAACCAAATGTAGCGTTCTTAACTAACAGCACTTTGCTGGGGCCAAAACCATAGTCCAAAGCATTTCAGGCTGGATTTAGAGAGGCTTACAGAGAGAAGAGAGAAAGAAAAATAATAATATGCATATAGGAAGGAGGGAGAAAGGAACATGCACTATATTATATACAGTTTAAACAGTTGGGTAAGCTATATTGTTTGGAAATATATTTTTCCAACACTCATTTTCTCTTTTCCATACTCAAAGCAGGCCTGGAAATGAAACTACTGATTTCAAATGACCTACTTTTCTAGACACTATGGGAACCCTGGCTGTTCAAACACGTTTGGCAGTGTTAGTAATACTGCAACAACTTTATGATACACCTAAACATGTAACATGTTTACTTTATCAAGCAGATTTTTAAGATTTTAATTTCAAACTCATTCATTCCCACATAAAACCAGCAAATCTGAGCCTATTTTCACCAGCATGACACATTCAGGGCATAAAAAAAACCCAGCTACTTTATGAGCATTGTTAAATGCAGCCATGGATGCAATAAACAGAAGAAGAAAAGCCCGGTTTTACAGCTGGATTGATTTGTTTCAAAGAGACACTTACTGTTCCTCCAACAATCCTGCCCAGGGGGTACCAGGCCCTTTCATCAAACCAGTTGAGGAACTCGTAGAAGCCATTTGTGGTGAGATGGTGCGTTGATCTGTAGTTGAACCTGAAGCAGCAAAAAGCAGAAAACAGGGATGGTTTATTATAATGCAAAATGAAGATGGCATGCTGCGTTCAGATCAATTTGTCAAAGACAGAGATGAAAGTAGAAACCGAAAAACACAATAGAATGGAGAGGATATTTTATACACAGATTTTAAAAAGGATCTAAGGAATGTTAAGCTCCTTTGACTTGTATGAGCCACGACAAGAAAGTTCTCGATTCACAATGTCAGGCTTTGTTGTGATGCCAACCACTTCCAGCTGAGGCTTTGGTTTGTATACATATGTTTTTTATATATTTTAGTATTTTTCTTCAATTCTGCAGTGTCTTCATAAAAAAAAAAAAAAAATAAAACAGGACGGGTAAAAAAAAAATTCCTGCTGACTGCTCAGATCATTTAATTCAATGGTATGCGGAGATGATAAACACAACAGGTCTCAGGGTTACCCCTAACTGAATAATTAAATCAGCATCCAAGAATAAATATCAGAAATCCCACTTAAAGAGGACCCAATTCCGGCTGTAGCTGAGGTAAGCCGAGGCGGTTGGAACGCTGTCAAACAGCCAAGAGAAAGCGCTGACAGTCTTTAGAAAACTGCTGCCGAGGAGAACTGCAGAACTCCAGACTGAACTCTCAGGGGCAGCTTCTCCACCACACAGCTAATTAACCTGAGATGCATTGTGGTTCAATCACAGGCTCAAATGAATGGTGCAAAAGACTCCATGTGCGAGGCTGAGAAGTCGGCTATAAGCCAATTACCTGGGCGCAGTACAAGAGTGAACATGATAACCTTGTGTGAATAAAAAGCTGTTTTACCCCACAGAAATTCTTTGATTCATTTTTCATCAAATAAGGTAGTCTTATTTAATCGTCCCATGAGGCAACGTTGCACTAAATACATCAAGCTGCTGTTCATCTCTGAAAAGTCTGGCTTTTATCTGATTTTAAGCAAGTCAAAATTAAGAACTAACACTGCATAAATGGAGCCTTGCAAACGGTGGATATTTAACTCAATGCAGACTTTGAATGCTCCGTCCCTGCTGAAGAGCAACTTCCTCATATCACTATGGTATCAGTGTTTCACAAGGGGGGAAGTTCAAGGTGATGCAAAGAGTCGATAGTATTTATATCCAAAATAGATTTTCATTTTCTTAGCAAAACTCCTTATATGCGTTGGCTGAGGAGTTCTGCTCCAGAAGTCTGAGAGTCTGTGGGAATCCACCAGGCTCCCTGAGATGTTTGGAGTTTAAATATATTGTTTAAAGCTAATCCTGCATAAAACTTCCCCATTTTTTTTGTGTACCTGGAAATAGTGGCCTTTATTTGACAATATGCTGACAGGAAATGAGGTTTAGAAAGAGGGGGAAGACATATGACATAGCTCTCCTACTTCTTAAAGCTATCAAGATGTTCCAAGTTCATCATTTGTATATAGAAAAAAAATAAAAAGTTGGTCCTCAAAATTAGAACATCTGCAAACAATCCTTTTCCTTAAGGCTTTTCCTGGCAATCAAATTCCTCAACAACCCGAGTTCTGAGGTACCAACACCAAGATCAACCCTTTAGCTGAACAGAGAAGAGCGTCTTTTATCTCAGAGTTTGGGAAATGATAATTCAGCTTTTTTCATTAACATACAGCACATCCATGCAGGTGATAAGATCTAAAACTTATAAGTGTGAACACATAAGGGACTTGTTCCATAGATATACTGAGAAAAAAAACAAACTAAACCAACCCCAGAATGCAGGAAAGGGTAAAATCAAATCAGCAGGTGTGAGAGTTCTCCCACAGAGACACCCAGGAAGTAGATGGAACTGGTCATGCACTTCAGCCCTGTTGTTCAGCAATTGTCAAATCAGCGAAGCATAAACAAAGCCAATTCAAAGAAAGGTCTCTAAAGACACGACGCCTCACACTGCCAAGCAAAATCCGCAAAACCCATTTTCCATTGATCTCATGGACAGCTGAACGGATTGTTTCATCCATGCCCTTGTCACGTCGATGGGACGGATAACGTAGCTCTGCCGGGCGCATTAGCAATTTAATGCATAGCTGCCTATGTGGTTTCAGGCCACAAAGCCTTTGATGACTAGCAGCCTCTTTTAGATAAGAAACTCATACCCCTAATACTACAACGCCACACTCCTGGGTGGATTTCAGAGAATAAATGAGAAAAATGAAGCCTATATGAACTCCTTATATCATAGCAAAGAGCCAGTGGCTTAGCTTTGCCTCCTCTGTCTCACTGATTAACAGCTTCCTGTTAGGATGGGGCCGTCATCATCACCATGACTAAGTGAGCTTCGTCGCCATTCATAAGCTATACAGTGTGCTTCATTTAGTATCAGCCACATAATCAAGTGGATCATAGTCCTCCGCCCCTTTTATAATTAGCTACATGTGTAACTTTAAGCGCATAATCTGCAGATGACCTAAAAGATAAGAGACATGGAAGCCATAATTAAAGCTATAAAAAACCAACTAAATCCAAGCATTAAATAAAGGACTTTTAATAAAATGTAATCACAGTATTGACATGTTTGATATTACTGCTGTAAAAGACTACCAGGGGGTAATGTTTGTTTTCTATGAAAGGAAAATGTATGCTATATGACAAGTGATATAACTATAAGACAGACTCATCCATGACCAGAAATGTTAGATTAGTTTGATCCGTCTGGGGTTATGACTGCAAGGTAAAGAAAACCAAATAAAAGTGAAGGCCCCGGCTTAATGTTTTCATCTGGTCTCTGATCACTGTAAAAACAGCAGCTTTAGGTATCAGAGAGGTTTTACAACTCAACTCAGAGGAGGCATCTGGATTTAAGAAGGCATCTTGGGAGTAGGTCTGTTTATGGGGCTTGGACTGCAGTTACACGCCTTCACATGTATATAATAAAAGACCGTAATGTATTTCTACATCCATCAATAAGAAAACACTAGAGTGACTGCACTCCAAATGTTTTAAGGACGTTTTTTGTTTTTTTGAGATTTTAATTACAGCCGGTGGTAACATTCCCTCTGACTAATCCAATTGTTTTCTCACAGGTTAGAAATAGCTTCCTACAGATTACCTGCAGACGTGGCCTGGGATGGCATACAGCTAATGAGTAGCGGTTGAACAAGTGTAGTTTATTTCTCATCTCTTTCAGAAATAACTGAATTAAATGCAGTTACCACATTATGAGCCAATACAGCCTGTATAAAAAATCTCTACATGTTGAATGTGCAGTTATGGAATGAAGGCTGCAACTAGGAGGAGAGAACATGATCCATTTATACTTAAGGTTTTTCTTTTTTTTTTTTGTTCCGATTAATTTTGTTCAATATTTTTCATTGAGTGAGGGGTGACTTATGTAAAGTCCAAAATGTGTTCTTCACCACTTATCACACTTTCTGTTAAAAGGGAGTTTTTCCTCTCCACTGTCGCTACAAGCATGCTTAGTGCGAGGGATTGCATTCAAGTGAATGAGTCGATGCAATCAACTGGTTTTCCTTAGATAGGAAACGTGAATCGATTTGACTGTATGATCTGGTGAACTGTAAAATACCTTGAGATGACATGTGTTGTGAATTGGAAGTATATAAATAAACTGAATTGAAACTTATAAACAGCTTGTAAGCAAAATAACTACCAAAAGAGACTTTCATGAACGAAAATCAAGAGAATGTCTGCATATGAATATAGTTTGAATGATAAAAAGACCCATGGATCTGTTTGTTGACCCCTAAAAAAGCCACTGTGTGACTAGATTGCATGGTTATTAGCATTTAGAGTGGGTAACTATCAATCACTCTGAGGGGGTTTAAAGTCAAGTTTAACAGTTGTTACTAGGCTTATCTTGATCCGCCAGGAAACATGGCAACACCAGGTCTGAATATGGCTTCCTGATCCTGGTGTCATGAAACAAACTGGATTTCAAAATGCTGGCTGTATTTTGTAAGAATCAACATTCTAATCATAGCAAAACCTCATTTTTAATTAAGCTAGTAATGCAAATCCCTAATGAGAGATGCCAAAGGTGAAACTTTTTGTTGTTTTTCAGTAAAACCCTGCTTTTTTTTTTTCTTTTTCTTTTTTTTTTCTTATTTTCAGGAAATGTCAGTTAAAGGATATCTTAAGTGAGCTTTCTGGGAGGTGGAATACAACTAACCAGCCTGATCCAACATTTTGATCTCCTTCCTACTTCAAATTGGCCTGTTTTTCATTTTGTTTTTGTTTTTTGTTGTAAAAAATGCCTACAATATTTCAGCCATCTGTTTCAGCTTTACAGTGCAAGGCAAGTTTCATCAGGACTCAGAGGACAGGACACACTTATTGAGAGAGCAATTGAATGAAGTGACAACCACCAATAGCCACAACATCCGATGCTTTAGATGTAATAGGATCAGTTTCCCCAGGTTTCATACGCCCAGCTTTGATCATCATCTAAATAGGTTATATCTTCTACAGATCTAACTTCCTGTATTTAACCTGATACTCTTCAGTTACTCCACACACGTTTCAACGGATCCAATTTAACTACTTGATACAACTTAGAAAATGCTCACTAAGACAACTGGAAAGGATCAACCTATATTATTAAAAAGGTTCAAATTGATAAATTCAGTATTAGAGATGAGGGCCTAAAATTGGAGATGAATGAAATTTTGGCAGCACAACTTGCATGTAAGTCTATTTGTCCATTTCCACCTTTTATTTCCGAAATATTAACGTTTTCATAGTGTTTGCTTAGGTGCAGCTTTGGTAATTCTTTGGGTATTTGAACATGACCCAACAAGGATTGTGGGGCTTTAACCTCAAGCAAAGAGGCGATGCCAGGGTTGTGGTCATTTTTTTAATGGGTAGAAAAATATCATTAGCATTGGTAAATGTCAGCAGCCAATAAAGTAATACTGGAAATCCATATTGGTGCAACTTCTCTCACTGGTGGGTACCTACTTAAAATCTGTGGATAAACGTGGGATAAGGATCAGGCCTATAGATTTTTTAAATGTGTT